AGCAGATGGAGGGAGAACACGAGCAAGGATGTCAGGACCACGGGGGGTGCACCCACCCACTGAGACAGTGGGGCTGATCTATTGGGAGCTCACCAAGGCCAGCTGGACTGTGACTGAAAAAGCATGGGATAAAACCGGACTCTCTGATCATGGCGAACAATGAGGACTGATGAGAAGCCAAGGTCAATGGCAAGGGGTTTTGATCCTACTTCATGTTCCGGCTTGGTGGGAGCCTAGCCAGTTTGGTTGCTCACCTTCCTAGACATGGACGGAGAGGGGAGGACCTTGGACTTTCCACAGGGCAGGGAACCCTGACTGCTCTTTGGATTGGAGAAGGAGGGGGAGAAGAGTGGGGGGAGGGAGAGAAGAGAGGGGGGAGAGGGAGGAAAATGGGAGGCTGGGAGGAGGCGGAAACTTTTTTTTCCTATTCTCAATAAAAAAAAATAGCAAAAAAAATGTAAAGTTGTGAAAATACAAAGAACATAATCTCAAAAGACCAATCTTTTAAAGTCATCTACCTTTAAGTGTAGACCCAACTTTGTATCAGCAAGTAGACTAGCATACGTTGTGAAGATTTCAGGAAATGAGCTGTGAATTGTATCAAAAGATAAAGCTGAATCAATCTAAAGGGAGATAAAACACAAATTTCTGTATTATGCCTCAAAAACTTTTGATATATCTTTCAAATTTTTAAATTTCAGCACTCATTATTTGTCAACATTTCAACAATGTTGCTATAAAACATTTTATTATATCCTGCTAAGACAAAGTCTGTGAAGACATAGTGACAAAACACATAAAGTAAGAAGCATAATGAACAATGGTACAAGAAAAAGAAAAGTAATTGGGAGATAGCGCTCCAAAATATATTTAATTATCAAGAACTGACTTTTTGAAGACATATTCACTGTAGTGTTTAAACATAAGTTACAGAATTCAAAATAATGACCATGGCATCCATGGTGGCACACATCTGTAATCTGCAATAAGGAAGCAGAGGCAGAAAGAAGATAGTAAGACTATGTCTCAAAAAGAACAACATAACTTGAGATGAATGCATTTCAAGTTCTTTTCAAAATACCTGCAACATTTTTGCCAGTAAGGATAGCACTGTCACTTTGCTTTCTGGAGCAGAATCTGCGGCCCACCATGAATCACACTTCCTCCAGTTTTGCATAATGGCAGCTGCAAGCTTCACTCCGTGTTGTTTATGAACAGCTCGATCCTTGAAGCTCTGATCTAACATACCATTTAAAACAGTACTAACCTGAAAAAATTTGTACATTGTCAAAAAATTCTTAATATTAATAGAAAAAGCCCACACTTCCATGTCAAAGCTATTTTAGGAAATGAAAATGCTGTACCTGTAATAGAGGTTTAGCTATTTAACAATGTAAGAGCGCTGTAACATAAATCTTCCCAAAGAAAGCAGAGGGTGACTCTACTGATGCCCTTGTGCCCTCTCTGCTGTGTGTGTGTGTGTGTGTGTGTGTGTGTGTGTGGGTTGGGGGAGAATTCTCCATGAAATTCCATTTGGAAGACGAGGTAAGTGCTCTTCTGTGAACATAACTACCACCACATGTATTTCTGTTCTAACATCACCTTTGCAACAGAATAACATAATTAATTTGGTTAGATTATCATTCAATATTTCCATCATTCTGACATAAGCATTTTTTTTACTGATGCTTTATATAGTATACTATCAACACATTTCCCTTCTTATACATTCTGCTCTCACTACAGCTATAACCTTGGCAGACTTCTTAGCTGTTTTCAGTGTGCCTATCCTTGTCATCAGACTCTCCCAAATCAAATAAATCATGCCATTCCATCTTTGCCAATCAGTAAAATACCTGCTTCAAGAGACACAGCACTGGCTGTGTTGTAGAAGGCCAGGCCTAGATAACCAATCTTCCTCTTAGCACAAGGCGGAACACAACACTTTGCTTTCTCAGCTTACCGCCTTCTTAATATCTACCTGGCAGCTTCCTGACAAGAGATGAACAAGGGAACAGGACCCTATAGACCTGGCTTTTCTAAACATGCGTATTCTACTGACTCACACAAATGAGAATCTGGCTGCACTGTAACTCCAGTCTCTTGGTCTTGATTGGCACTATCCACAGTTTTGTGAGAAAAAGATGTCATTCAATTTCTTGATTCTCTACACATAACTAGCTTATCTCCTTGAGAACTGTCAGGTTTTTTTTTTTTTTTTTTAATGTTGAACCTTTGGAAAATACATGCTCCTTGTGGATTCATTCCCAAACTGGGAGTAGGGCACTCTACATCTACAGCCCTTTAACACATGAGAACTGCAGTCCACCACTGTTTCCGGGCCTATGTCCTGTCCACTCAATTCCAGGATCCTTCATCATTTTTCTTTTTCTTTCTTTCTTTCTTTTTTGAGACAGGGTATTAGCCCTGTCTGTCTCGGAACTTGCTTGCTGTGTAGACCTGACTGGCCTTGAACTCATGGAGACCTTCGTGCCCCGCCCCCCCCCTCCCCGCCTGCTGGGATTAAAGGTGTGCATCACCACACCTATCACTTTCATTGTGCTTTGGTTTTGTATTTCACCCTAGTCTCAGGGAGTTCCTCAACTTTATTTTCCACCTCTACCCTGTTTTTTAATTTCAGGTACCTATGTTTACTTCCAGAGTATTCTCCAATCTTCTTGTTCAGTAGCAATTCTTATTTTATCATTCATCGTGTCTGTCCCCTGCCTCCCTGCTCTCTGCCCCGCTCCAACCCCTCTGATAGTCTTCCCATCCTCTTCTAGTGTAGACAGGCTAAGAGTTTGAACTGACACACCTGTCCTGCCTGCAGTTTGCTCATTCTGTTCTTCTTTCTCTGCACCCATTAAGACTGTTTTGATATAATCTTAATCTCATTCAGTCATTTCAGAGAGTCGTGAGGAAGGAATAGAGGCAGTAAATGCAACTTTTGCTGGCAATGGACAAGGATGGTACATGTAACAGGTTAGATAAGCAGAAATTACAACTCTCCGCAAATACTGACCTCAGTTTCTGACTACCTACAGAGCACACTGCCAGGCACATTTCACAGTCCTGTAAAATAGATGGCAGCATGCACATTTAATCCCAGCACCTGAGTGGCACAGGCACAGGCAGAAGCAGGAGGATCTGCCAAGTGTGAAGCCAGCCTGGTCTACAAAGTGAGCTCCAGGTCAGTTGTCTCAAAATAAAATAAAATAATGATAAACAAATCAAACCCAAAAAACCCACAAAATCCCCTAAGTTAAGCAATCGAAAAGCTAATATAATAAATATCACTCTCTAAAGGGTTACTATGATGGCGCAAAGAGGGCTGTGGAAAGAACATGCAGGAAAATAGGGCAAGACCCTCAAGCCGTGAGTGCTCTAAAAACAGGTTGGCAGTGTGAAAGACTAGCCTACAGGTGGGGTTGGAACAAACACTGCAGGGCATATGACACATTTAAAAGCTCCAATATGACGTTCTAGCAAAAGCCAGTATCCTACAGCATTGTATCTTGTATCTTACAGTGTTAGGCCAAGAGATTTAAAGGTTTGAGGGAATGGAAAAAAATAACCAATGTCTATTAGCATCTATTAACATATACTATCTTGATAAAGACTGTTTTGTTCTGTGGACTTTATTTCCAGACATTAGCAGATCTTTAAGCCTCCAGGAAGAAATCTGGTTTTAAGAAAAACCATCAGAAACATAAAAACCCTTTCGTGAACATTAGGTAAGAAAATATTTAAAGAAAAAGTTCCTTACCATTTTGGGATTATCTGTTGATGACTTCATGAGCTCTGATACAGCAATATCAAGATTTTTCAATAGCTCACTGTTGATTATTTCTGAGAACAAACTATAGAAATATTCCCCGTGGGAGAAGCTGACGTTTCTCTGTGAACTGCCCAAATACTGCATAGACAACAGTGCTGAATTCAGCAGCAAACTCACAAGATGCTCACACTACGGAAGAGAGAAGAACATACCAGAGAATCCATCCCCAGAAAGACTCTGAGGCAGCGGGTACACATAAGTGTACAAGGAACCTTCTAAAGAGTCTGGTGTGTGAAGTCAGGACTTGTTTAAATAATACACATTTAATTTAACTTCTATTTTCTAGGTTTCACTTTGTGAGAGGAATCTCCTACACTGATATTGTTTCCAACTTTCCAGAAAACTCTAGCAGCTATTCAAAGAACAATCAAATAAGTTGTTTGGGAAAACTAAAGTATAATTGAGAACATCAATGAGACAAAGAAGAGGTTGCTGCAATGGGAAAAGTAATGAGGGAGGATGGTATGGAACAAACACAGAGGGCTGGTTGCAGATCTCAGCCACAGCAGTTTATCTGAGGCCAGTTCTGCTGAGTTCAGAGTCATGAGGACTTTGGTCATGGTGCCTTGGGTGCTTCAGGGATGCCCTCCACAGTCCCTTTAAGCACCCATTCCAAGAACCAATAAGGATAGAGAAAGGAGCATGTCATCACAGGTCAACTTTAGTGACAAAATGTTCCTTGCCTAAAGTCCTTTTGGAAACAAAGATGAACAGAAAACTTCCATTTAAGAAGGTTATGTTTTTTATTTTCAAAAAGTATTGAAGAAGAGAAAGTCAGTAAGTCAGCTAGGTCGTTTAATCCCAGCACTTGTGAGGCAGAGGCAGGTAGAGCTCTGTGAGTTCAAGGCCAGCTCGGTCTACAGAGTTCTAGGACAGCCAGAGAGAGCTACACAAAGAAATCCTGTCTCAAAACCTCCCACTGAAAAAAAGAAAGCCAGTAAGTCAATAATAATATGTGTCCATCTAAGACTTTACTAACTAAATTTCATACTTTTTAGAGCTATACCACAAGTAACTTATGTAAGTCACTCGATAGGAAGGCTGGGTGTTGCTGATTTCCTACCAGTCCTCCGTAGGCAAAGGCTAACTCCAGGAGTCCATTGGCCAGGCTCATACAGCTGGGGTCCAACGACTGCATGCACTGCCTTTCCTCTGCAGGTGCAATGCCTTTATAAACCAAAGAGAGCAGCCGCATGCCAATGGGATGATCCAGTGCTGTAGACTAAAGGAAAAATTGACATGAACTGCCCGCTGAAACAAGGTATTCAACGCAAATATACAATGTCACTTCTTCAGTAAAAAAAAAAAAAGTGTTAACTAACACTGATGACTATTTTCTAATTCTTAGGACAACTCCAACCCAGTTTTTGTTGTTTAAGCTACAGATTTCATTTATGTCTTTCTGTGATAAAGGACTACAGTAACTGGTTCTTAAAATGTTTTAGGTTACTACAATTTCAACTGTCTTTCATTCCTCTCATTCTATCTTTACTTTCATATTCACATTCTAGTCAGCACCTAAATGTAAGAGTTCTCTAATCTCTAGTTCAGTATATTCTGTATGTACAATATTTAAACAAATAATATAAACCTAAATGTAAGAGTTCTCTAATCTCTAGTTCAGTATATTCTGTATGTACAATATTTAAACAAATAATATAAACCTAAATGCCAATTTGTACTAGTGTAATGAAATCAGTATAATAGAGAAAGCAAAAGGGAAATAAAATAAATTAATTATGGTTACCTGAGATGGGGATATGACATGAGAGAAGCCAGCTTTGTGAAGCTGTTGACAGGCTGATAAGACAGACAGCAACTTGGTCCTTTCTTGGCGAGCATCAGAGTCACACAAGTTAATGGCACAGAGCTCTTCGACACTGGCCGTGAGAACAACAGAAAACCAGGTAAGGATACACTAAGGAATTGTGTTGCTGTCATAACTTTACTAGTCACTTGGCCCTCAAACTCACTAACATGGTCCTGGAAAACGCAAAGGTAACACCAGAGGAAGGCTCATAGAACAGCAAATGTAGTACATCTACTGTTCTCGCCCATCCTACGGGTAGGAAAGGAATTAGTGAAGGTCATGATTTCCAAACAGTGTATGAGATCATTTGTGTGTGCACACACAAGTGCATGCGCACACATAGGCACTGACAAGTCCCTTTCTTGAGGACACTGCAGTTGTGCACACAGCTGTGAGGAACACTGGATAAGTGAGGACCTAAATCACAGTAACTGAGCATGGCCTGAGCGCCCACCTCTGCGCTGTCACTTTCTTCTTCAGGTGAGTCTCCAGCATGTCTCTGCATGGGGACTTCTTCAGTGCCTTCAGCAGGTTCACACAAATGCTGGGAAGGTGGTTCATAACCTGGACGTCGCCAACATTGAACCCTAAGCTCACGGGCTCACAAAGCATTTTCACTAAGACTTTCATTAGGTTTGTGTTACACAAGTCCTTCTCCAGGAGCTATAAAGATAGAAAAGACAGATGGAATAAGAGTGCTTCTTGGCCAGTAGCTCTTCTCATCACAGTGTAAACAAGGTCCACAAGGTGCGAATAGTCACAATACTGACAGTTTGGCAGATTTTCTGAAAATAAATGAAAAGTATTAAAATGCTTGAAACCAAAATGATTTCAGATTTTAATGTTTTTTTTTTTTAATTTTAGAATATCTAGTTAGACTCTATCACATGACATCACTATTCTGTTTTTGAGGAATATCCATACTGATCTCCAGAGTGGCTAGGCTAATTCACGTTCCCGTCTTTAGTGAAATTACAGTGCTATGGACGGAATGCACAGCTTACAAGCAAGCACCTTCCTACTAAACTATACCCTCAGGTCCTGACCCCCAAAGCAGCAACTGATTTCCTTTTTCTCCCATCTTCACCGGTATTTTTTACTGTTTGATTTCTTAATGACAACTATTTGAATTGGGCTAAGATGGCATCTCAATGTCATTTTGATATGTTTCTCCCTTGTGGCTAATGATCTAAGGGCAGTGATTCTCAACTGTCCTAATTCTGTAACCCTTTAATACAGTTCCTCATGTTGTTGTGACCCCAACCATAAATTGTTTCTGTTGCTACTTCATAACTATAATTTTGCTACTGTTATGACTCATAATGTAAATAGCCTTGGAGACAGAGGTTTGCCAAAGGGGACATGACCTCTCATAGGTTGAGAAACTTAAGGACATGAAGAAATTTAAGTTCTTTAAGGGAAACTTAAGTACATTTCCCATTTTAAAGTACTAATCTCAAATTAACGGATCAGGAGCTACGACCCTACCTTGAAAATTTCTGGAGAGGTATTGAGCAGGGTTGTGGTAAATTCCATAATCCGGACCAAGACTGTGCATTTGTTATAGTTGTATTTTTCTTCCTCTTGTAGACTGGGAGGCCCAGCTGCTACCCCTGTGCCAAAGCGTTGTTCAATTGCTCTAACATCGTGGGTTGCTACGCTTTCTAAAAAGAAAGCCACTGACTTTAAAAGTGAAGACTGTGTTTCAGTACCTGGGAATAAGAACAGTCAAATATTAGGGTACGTTCTCTAAAAGGAATATGAAGTTCCTTCTTAAAATACAGGTAATGATATACACCCAACAAAAGAATTCAAGAATTAAAAACATAAGTTCAAGAAAAGATGAATAAAAATAGCACCTATTTCTTCTTAGTTTCTTAGTTCAAAATTTGAACTAGAATATAATTCAAATAGAATTCAATTTCACATATAGACAGTAACAATGTCTATACAGGGTCTGGTCATCTGTTTATTATTTATTGCTCTTGTAGGAATGAACATGCTAGGAAAGCACTCTACTGTACTATATCCAGCCCTCCAGCTATGGTTTGAACACTCTGCCCCAGCTGGTGAGTTATTCTGGGAGTTCTTCAGCTTTAAACGGTGAGAACAGTTGGAAGACGGGTCCCTAAAGGAATGTCTTTGTGCTCAGGGACACTCACTGTGTGGGAGGTAAAGAGATCTGACGCATCTTCCTGTCACCACGGCATAGAGAGCCAGGCCTCCATGGACCAAGCCCTCCTAAACAATGAGCCAAAACAACTGTGTTCTTCAAAGTGTTTATGTCAAGATACTGTCACAACACCAAGTTTGACTAACACAAGACTTGACTGTCAAAGATTACTTATGAGAACTATCATTTAAAAGAACAATTGGCAACTCATATAAAAAAGACTTAAATAAATACATAGGTTAGTCTCTAAATAATATTTTAAAATTCCTATGGTTTTATCTAGCACTGAAATTTTAATTCAATAAAATAATGGCAAATAGCAAATCATGTTCATTTTACCTATTTTTGTTCTATAAGTCAGGAACATGCTTATATAGTAGAAGCTGGATTGAAACTAGTGATTCTCCTCCCCTCCCTCTCCTGAAGAGGTAGGAATATAAGTGAACACCACCACATCTGGCATTATTTCTAATAATGAAGAAATTGAAAAACTCCTCCAACGGGCAATGCAAAACCAAATGACAGTGGCTGTCTCTAATCAGGTACGCTGGGCATTTACTATTTTACAGAAACATTCTCTAGCTCAACTCCACGCTGCCTTATAAACTTCACCTGTCTGAACAAAATCAAGCTGTTTTCTTCCCCACTGCACACGGAAACTTCTTCCACTCACCATATTGCTCCACTCTTCTCATGGGTCACTACCCCAAACATAACAACCTCCAAGGCCAGGTGTGGACACTGGGGATGCTGGATAGATCAAGTTTCTAGTCATGACATAAAGGATTGGGGATGGCCCAGAGAGGGAATACTGAGAGGGTCTCTAGGAGGAGAAGAGTTAAGTCTGTCTAGAGAGGGAATACTGAGAGGGTCTCTAGGAGGAGAAGAGTTAGGTCTGTCTAGAGAGGGAATACTGAGAGGGTCTCTAGCAGGAGGGAAGTTAGGGCTGCCACAAGGATGGACAGAGTCTCTGGGGAGCGGAGCGAGAAAGGCAGAAGCGGTCCTGCAAGTGGTCTGCTACAGGATGAAGTTAAGAGACTGAGGAATTTGAAATGGAGCACAGGAAGGAGAGTGAAGACTGTGCACCTGACTTCCAGGCTAGTTCAGCCAATGGGTTCCCAGGCAAAGTGTGCCTCTCGATCGGCAGCCATTATAGATAAAAGGGTGAGGAAAGGGAGAAAGGATGGACTGGAGAGAGGATCTTCAGAACCCACAGGAAATGAAGGCCAGATGTCGGCCGAGGGTCTGCTACAGGACTAAGAATCAGATTGGAGATTTGCAATGGTGGAGTGAATGGCCTCTTTAAGGTTTTTTAGAATAACCACAATCGCATTTTGAAGTCCTTGTTTTGTGTTTCAGCTAAATTGCATTTCCGGGGTTTAATGCAACAGGGTTACTGGTCTCTGAAAGAGGCACGTTGTCTTGGCTGTTCAAGTTCATATTTTGCATTGGGATATAGGCATCTGGAGGTATGATGTTTGAGGGTTTTTTTGGTGCAAAGATCTTATTTCCTCTTTGATGGGTGAGTGTTCTGTTCACTGGTGCCCACTCTGGATCCTCAGTAAGTCTCTTGTAACCAGAGTGTTTCTGTGGGTTGGTGAAAGACACAAAGGAATGAAGAAGGCTGGAAGAAAGATTTCAAGGAGCAGTGGGAAAGTGCCACAGTGGTCCTGGGTCTGAATCAAGAGGTGGATTCTCCAGGGAATGGAGTTAGGCTGGGAGAAGGAGTGGGATTAGGATGAAGTCTAGAGAGACCACAATCAGAGATTACACTGTTAAAGGTGCACACCTTTAATCCCGGCACAGGCCGACCTCTGTGAGTTCAAGGTCAACCTGGTGTTCAAGAGCTAGTTCCAGGACAGGCTCCAAAAGCTACAAAGAAACCCTGTCTTGAAAAACAAAACAACAACAACAACAAAAAAACCCCAAACAAACAAACAAAGAAGAAAACCATTCAAAACAATAAGGTACTGCCCTAGGAGAGATAGCTCAGTGGTTAAGAGCATTGCCTGTTCTTCCAAAGGTCCTGAGTTCAATTCCCATCAACCACATGGTGGCTCACAACCATCTGTAAAGAGGTCTGGCGCCCTCTTCTGGCCTTCAGGTATACACACAGACAGACTATTGTATATATAAAAAATAAATATTTAAAAAAAATTTGTTAAAAGGGAAGGAGGTTGTATTTTACAATTAGTCAGTTATGGAACTATTTAAATACAACTATTTAGTAGAGTAATATATTGCTAGCATTTTGCTCAACAACAAAATATATGGCAGTGGTCCCATAAAGCTATACCACCTAGTGACTTAGGGTGTTACTGGGAGGTAGGGGAATCTTTAGAATGTGGAGAACAAAATAAAATTATTGGAGGTGTGTACTTTAAGGGATATTGAGACTATGACACCCACTTCTTATTCACTTTGCTTTCCTGGCTACCATGAGATTAATAGTATATACCAAACCACAGGGCAAAAGCAACAAAACCAAGCATGGACTGAATCTTCCGAGCCTGTGAGCCACAGTCAACCTTACATCTTAAGTTAATAGCCTCAGCCTTTTGTCATAGAAGTGGAAAGCTGATAAACACAAAAAAGAACGTAAGTAAAGAAGCCTGTCCAGTAGTAGAAAATCCAGGTTAAATCTCTTTATACAACACTAAGTAACTAGTATCTGTTATCAATTTTGTTAGTATTATTATACTTATTAATTTATTTAGGTTTTTTGAGACAGGGCTACTCTGTGTAAGCGTCCTGACTCTTCTGGAACTTGTTTTGTAGTCCCGGCTGGTTTCAAACTTAAAGAGATCCACCTGCCTAGCTTCAATTTCGTTAGTATTATTTTTAATTTAGTTTCTACACAGGTCTCACCATATAACAGTGGTTGTCTTGTAGATAAGGCTGGCCTATAACTCAGAGCCTCTATCACCAAGTGCTTGTTACTGTTATTTTGACATGCACCGAACATAAACCAAGCAGAATCAGGCAATGCTACCTTAGAGTAAATTCTACCTACCCAGAACGTCTTGTACTTCCACAGTCTTCTCCTCGATGAATGTGTTATAGCACTCCAGTGCCGCAAGGAGCATGTCCAGCCACTGTAGGACTGCTCTCAGGCTCACTGGCCCTTGCAAATGGAAGAGAGTTGGCTGAGCAAGAATGCCCGCTGGTTGATCACAGCTGCTAACCCCTCCTTCGAATGTGTTTATGAGAAAAGAAATATCTTCTGTTTTTATGAGATCTTTCAACCATACAGAAGGGGATTTGTTGTCTAAGAGACAAGATTAAAACATACATTAATATATACACAATGCAAAGATATCAACATTCAAAAAAAATCAAACCTCTTTAATCATCTTTGAAGCTAGTTAAAATTTCAAAATGATGCAGGCTCATCTTTTCATTACTGGTAATTTGTTTTACTGTTGTTACTTCTGAGAAGTTATTTCCACCAAAGCTGTACTCTTCATTCCTAACATTATAAAACACCATCCGGAGGGCAAACAGACTGATGCTCTGTCCCTTTTCAGGTCACAAGAGAGTGCTGTGGTTTCTGGGATCTGATGCGGGCTGTGCTGCTCACCTCTCCCAGTCTTCTCTTCCCACGACAAGAACAACAGTGTGCCTGTGCTTATCTACCCACAAGTGCCTTCCCGGCCTCAGTCTCAAGCTGCATGCTAAGTATTGTGAATTAAGTCAGTCAAATGATTTGCTTTAAAAATTATCGTCTTTTGACACTGTACTTTTTCTAAATAAGAAAAGGAAAGGATAAAATTTCATTTTGCAAGTTAAGAAATCAGTGCCTCAAAAAAGGTTAAGTGATTCTTTGACCTAAACAGAATATATGTCTGCTGTAGTAATAGGACATTTGGGGACTACAGGAGTAAAAAGGTGAACAACCCGCTATTTTCACTCAGAACCAAAGAAAATTAAAATTATGAGAAGAAAAATAATATGGTATTTAAATTCTACAGTAAATGTCAAGAAAGACAGAAAAGCCAGGTATCAGAAGGAAAAGGCAGAGATCTACAGACAGAGTAAGACATATGAACCTTATCAGCTAGTGTATTAGACAGTCTTATGTCAACTTGGCATAAGCTAGTTATTTAAATGTCTCCATAAGATATAATTATAGGACATTTTCTTAGTGATTGATGGGGGAGGCCCAGCCCATGGTGGGTGGTGCTATCCCTGGGTTAGTGACACTAGGTTTTGTTTTGATTATTACTATTTTTTATTTTTTTAGTTGTTGCAAAAAAAATTTCTGCCTCCTGCCCGTTTCCCATTTCCCTCCCCCTCCTTGCACACATCGCCCCCTCCTCCCACTCTTCTACCCCTCTCCCCCTCCCCCCACTCCATCCCCCCTCCCTCTGACACTAGGTTTTGTAAGAAAGCAAGCTGAGCAAGCCATGTGGAGCAGGCCAGTAAGTAGTACCCCTCTACGGCCTGCCTCTGTATCAGCTCCTGCCTCGCAGTTTCTTCCCTGTTTGAAATCCTGTCCTGACTGCTTTTGATGATGAACAGCAATATGAAAGTATAAACCAAGTGAGCCCTTCCCTCCCCCAACTTGTTTTTGGTCATGGTATTTCATCACAACAACAGTAACCCTAACTAGCATAGATGCAAGGAATCACCCTCCAGGTCTCTTGGCTGACAGGAGTGGCATATACCTGCAATCCCAGCAGGAAAAGGAGTTCAAGGCCATCTACAGCTATACAGTAAGTATGAGGTCAGCCTTGGCCATACAGGGGTGTGTGTGTGTGTGTGTCTGTGTGTGTGCATGAAAAATAAAAAAAGAGAAGGAGAAAAAGAATAAAAGGAAGAAGAGGAAGAAAGGAGTACGTCTTAGGTTCCTCCCAATGTGTCATGTTCTGGACTCTATGGCATCAGTCAAACTCACACTGAGTCTTAACGATCAGAAGGAATTGGACAATAATTTCTCTCAAAAGCCTGATACACATGGCATAAACAACCCTACCACTATTGTGATATTACACCAACCTGAGGTATTCGTGTGTTTGAAGCTTCAACATAATTACCTACAGATTCCCACCATTGCTGCTCAAAAAAAGGGTAGTGGTGGGTGGCCACAGAGGGTGATATATCCTAAAGGCCACAGATGACATAAACCAGAAAAAAATGCATTATTTTTTTGTTTAGTTTATATTAGGGAAAGACTAGCTTTGCCTACTACTTGATAGCCTGACTTTATAGATTCTTTTGAGACAAGTGTTTCAGTGGTTAGCCCTGGTTGGCCTGGAACCTACAGAGGTCCATCTGTCTCCAGTGGGATTATAGGCAAGAGCAATTCTAAGAGCAAGATTTAGTTGAAAATATAGGAGGTTGTCATTATGGGCAACTGAGAAGAGAACAGCAAAGAAATGCTTGGGTCAATGAAGATGACATCATAGAAACCACAAACAGTATAGGAGTCAGAGTGGCAGAGGCACTCGAGGGGTGGAGTGGGGTCTGCCAAGGAGCACCATCTAAAATTGATTAGAGGGGGCTGGAGAGATGGCTCAGCGGTTAAGAGCACTGACTGTTCTTCCAGAGGACCTGAGTTCAATTCCCAGCAACCACATGGTGACTCACAACCATCCGTAATGAGATCTGGCGCCCTCTGGCCTGGCGGCATACATGGAGGGAGACTTTCTATACATAATAAATAAATAAAATCTTTAAAAAAAATTGATTAGACATTCGAAGAAAACTATGGCCTCCTTCCGTTCCAGCAGGTTCCTCGTCATATGTGGTTGTGCCAATGACTTAACAGATTAAATAAATCTAAAATAACAGCAGTGTGGAGGTAGGAAGATGGCTCAGTGCGTTAAGTGGGGGCTTGAGGAAAGAAGTGAGGACTTGAAATTGATTCACAACACCACATAAAAACTGGGCATGGCGGTGTACATCTATACTACAGTGCTGGAGGGATAGACAAAGATGGATACCCAAAACATGCTGGCCTTGCAGTCTAGGCCAATTGGTGAACAAATGAGAGACCCTTCCTGTGTATTTAGTTTTTTGCCAACCTGAAACAAGTGAGGGTCATCAGACAAGGGGGAATATCAATTGAGAAAATTCCTATATCAGATTGGAATGTGGGCAAGACTATGGCACATTCTCTTTAGTAATGATTAATATGATTAATATGAAGGGCCCAGCCCACTGTAGGCAGTCCCAACCCTAGGCTGGTAATCTTAGATTATATAAGAAAGCAAGCTGAGCAAACCATGGAGAACAAACCAGTAAGCAGTATTTCACCATGGTCTCTGCTTTAGTCTTTCCTCCAGGTTCTTGCCCTAACTTCCCTTCATGATGTAAACCATCTCTTCCCCAAGTTGCTTTTAGTTATGGTCTTTAACACAGCAATAAAAAAAGTAACTAAAATACTGCCTCTATTTTTTAGAATGCTGGCAACTTTTCATTACTCATGTTGAAATACAACTGTGTTACTTTGAATACTTTAAATCTGTGAGGGGGAATACTGGAAGATAAACTTAGGACCTTACACATAGTAAGCATGTTGTCTTCAGCATACAATATTTGGAATCTTTACCAAGTTTTGTTAGCTGCAAAGGCAAATCAATTCTTCCTTAATATTTAAATGAGACAGAAAAAAAAACTGTGGTGAAATAAAAATTTGGGAATCCCAAATCTACTTTTGCATTATTTTATAATAGCAAAGTTGTAATTTTTATCCTATCACAAATCGTTACAAAACATATTCATAATTTATCATTTGTCATACAAACCTAGAATGAATATTAAACATACTTACTCTGACAAAGATTTATTTTAATCTATTTTGTGTATGAAAGTTTTGCTTATATGTATGTATTATACCACATGAATGCAGTGCCTAAGGAGGCCAAGAGAGGACGTCACATTCCCTTGAAATGGAGTTACAGGTGGTTGTCAGTTGACATGTGGGCAATGGGAATAAAATTAAACCTAGGATCTCTGGAAATACAGTCAGTGCTCTTAACACTGAGCCATCTCTCCAGCCCATACCTATTTTTAAATTTATTAGAAACATACTAGGTATAGTGTATGCTTGTCATCCCAACACTCTGAAAGATGATGCAGGAGGATTCTGAGTTATAAAGCAAAATTGAGAGGGGAGAAGGGGAAGAGGAAGGAAATGTTATTTGTATTATTAATTTATACAGAATCAGAATGTTTTCATTAGTTTGCATCTCCAAACTGGCAAAGGAAAGCCAGTCATTTTGATAGAATGTTAAGGATCAAAACACTGGGCTATCAAGATGACACAGCAGGTAAGGGTGCACGCTGCACAAGCCTAGCAATCTGAGTCTGATCTACGGAGTTCAGCTAAAAATAAAAGGAGTAAATGGAGTCTTCAAAGTCAGCCTTGGCCTCTACACATGCACTGTGGTTCACAGGTACTAATCCCTTCCCTATTTTAATAATTTTTTAATTAAAAAAAAAGAAAGAAAGAAAAAACATACCTGGGAGTAAAGGAACAAATTTATAAAAGAGTTCTATGGACTTGTGTCGACATTCTGTCTGGGGCCTTCCACAGTTAGCTAAAAGCCACTTGACTAGATCCAATAAACACAACGATGTCAACGGTGGAAACCCCCTATACAGAGAAAGCACGCCGTCATTAACACACTATCCAGCATTCTAAGTATTCCTAGGCAAGAATTTAGAAACCTGAAACTCAATTCTACCTTACTGACATATGGAACAGGCATATTCATTTTTTAATGTTTTATCATCAGGATGTAATCAAGGTATCACAGATTATCTCATAGAAATCTTCCTGCCTCTACTTCCCTGGTGCTGGAATTATAGATGTTTGCCACCACACCTAGCTTCAGTTTAGTTTCAACATAAAAAATATGTTTTTGCAATGCCAGAGAGAGAGAGAACTCAAGACTTTATACTGCAGGCAAATGCTCAGGGCTGGCTGGGCAGTGGTGGCGCATGCCTTTAATCCCAGCACTCGGGAGGCAGAGGCAGGCGGATCTCTGTGAGTTCGAGGCCAGCCTGGTCTACAGAGCTAGTTCCAGGACAGGCTCCAAAGCCACAGAGAAACCCTGTCTCGAAAAATCAAAAAAAAAAAAATGCTCTTTTCTTTCACTATGGGTAAAAAAAAAAAAAAAAAAAAATTAGATATGCTTAACAAAAAGAATCATGAATTTCATGTTCCCGTTCCAATGTGTTCTTTAAACAACAGAAACAAAAGCCCAAAGTTGTAGGATGTGAACCAATGTTTCTTAGAAGCTCACTTTGTGAACTAGTTATAAATCTACGTTCTTTGATCCTACCCTAGCCCAACTCAGAAATCTTGTAGATGAAGCCTGTACCACAATGTGTGTTTTAACTATACTCCCAATTAATTTCAATATATGTTAATGACCAAGAACCAATTGTGTAAAGTCATGCTACAAGTTAGAAGAACCTGAAAGATTTAACTGTAGTAGTTTGTTTTGTAGTCTCTTTACCAGTCTCTTTTACCTAAGGCTGGGCATGAACTTTTGATCCTCCTATCTCTCCCTCCCAAGTTCTTGGATTACAGGCACGAGCCTGCCACTTTCTTGATGACTTCTTTGAGACAGAGATGGGAGAGTAGGAAGAATGTGAACAACAGTCCTGGCTGACCTCAAACTTATGCTCCCCCTGCCTTCATTCCCAAGCAGTCAGGATTACTGTAAGCCACCATACCTGAAGGTGCCAATTTTAAAATGGGGAAAATGTAAGTATCTGCTATATATAGGTTCAGAGTGGAGTACAGTACAGACACCAGTACAGACACCATGACTTCCCATATACTGTACAGAGGGCCAAAGCACTGTACCTCCATCCTGCCTGACAATGATTAGCCCTGAGGTAATCAATCACTGGTCAATACTCAGTCTGGCTTTGAACAACTTTCTCATTTTGATAATTCCAAGTCTCAATCCTCCTCCTCCTCATCATCATCTTCCATTCTTTTTTTTCCTTTTATTCTGTTTTTGACTAGAACTGTAGTTGTCTAATAGAGTCTCAGTTTTACAGGATGAAAGAACTTTGGGAACTGGTTGCACAACACTGTGCCTATACATAACACTACAAGACTCTACATGCAAAAATGCTTAAAGTGATAAACTTTGTGCGCACTTCAGCACAGTTAAAAATAACAAATAAATTAATCTCTACTCAGAGCATCATTCAACGCCTGTATCACCTGAAATCCTGCATAGTGGTGAACAGTTGAAATCAGTGTCCACCTCTGTGTCTCACTTAGAAACTTACGTGAGCTTGAACAAGGTGCTCAATCTTCAAAGTCCATCTTAAATCTAAATATGCACTTTATCGTCCAGGTGACTATTAAATAAAACGTTCCCTAAAGACTTCCTGGAAACGTTAACAAGTTTCCAGTGGCCAGGCTGTTTAAATTGTCACTACGTAGATCTCTAGCCTCAACAGGAGTTGGTAACTTGAGCTCACTTCTGCTCTGTTCACTTTGCTAGTGGACAGGTCTGTACAAACACTGGTGTGTGCAACCACATTCTACAGGGAGCCAGCATCTTGGATTGAAAGTGACATTAAGTTCTTATACTTCCAAATTTATTGTATGACAGTTCAAGGATATTCTAGTTAAATAATTATTTGCCAAACTTGCATTCAAACTTAGCACAAGCAAAATGCAATGCCTTTCTCTGTTTCAAAACTTACTGTCAATTTGGACACCAACTCAAATTTTAATCAAATATCGTCTTCCTTAAATCAGGTATTTTTACACTTAAAGCTTTGAAATTTTGTTGGAAAGTTGACTGTTCATAACATACTTCTATACATTTCTTCTTTACAAAGATAATTATCTTCTACACATCCATCTGACAACCTTTATCAGATGGAATTAGCTTTATGCTGGGTTCAGGAGAGAAAAGGGAAACAGTATCACCTACTGTGGCAACCGTCGTTTTCTTGGTATGTTTAAAGAGTCGTGCTTCTTTTCAATGATGCGTCTGAGGTGATCAATGGCATCACAGCACTGCTGAATTGTACCTGTATTTATATCCAGTACAAAAGATTTCAATGAAAACATATAGCAGATTATCACTGACAAAGTTTTATAAAACTAATGACCTAATTTTGTGACTACAAAGATAATTTTTACTATAGATTTAGTACTCTTCATCTCAGAATAGGAAATTGAAATAAATGACTTCCATTTCAAATCTTAAAATAAAACTCAGACTCATGGCTACAGGAAGGCATGGCACATGCATGCATACTATATTCATACATGCAAAAAGGAGTATCACATACAAATAGGAACTACATGACCAACAGCCACAACAATCAAAGCATAGCCTCACATGACAGACTAGATTGGAAGAAATCTTAAGGTGCCATAACTCAGTTCAGGCCAGAGCCAGTGCACATCACTTCAGAGCCATTACAACTTAATATGTAGCCACTGTAGAAAAGCGCAGACTTAAGGACATTCCACAGAGGTTTACGAGAAAGAATGCATACATGGTACTTCTAGCACACACACACACGTGCTTATGTTGTAGGTTCTCTCTCTCTCTGTGTATATACATGCATGTTTTGTGTACTGGGTGTTAAAACCCAGAGGCTGACCCATAACATCAACTTAAAAAAAAATAAAGTGGGGGCTGGAGAGATGGCTCAGCAGTTAAGAACAGTTTTCTAGAAGACCCAAATTAAATTTCCAGCACCAACATGGCAACTCATAACTGTCCATAACACCCGTTATGAGGAGTCCAATACCCTTTTCCAGATACTATGGGCACAGGAACCCATATGGTGTATAGGCATACATGTAATCAAAATATCCATGTGTGTATGTATGTGTGTATATATGTGTGTGTGTATATATGTATACTCACACACATGCATACATACACATACATAATTTTAAAATAAAAATTTTTTCTTAAAAAGTGAGATGGCTCCTGGGAGCCACTCTAGGTTCAAGTCTCTTGCCAACACTAAGGTGGCTCTTTTAACTAAGATATGTGCTTCCCTGCTCCCCTATCCAACCTTCCTTTATCCCAATCTTCCTGTTTCCCCAAGTTCCCCCAATCCTCCCCTTCTTACTTTTCTCTCCCTGTCCCCCCTTATCCCCAACCCACCCCACCCCCAAGATCCCAATTTTGTCCCCGGCAATTTTATCTACTTCCCTTAGCCAAGAGGATAACTATATGTTTTTTCTTGGGTTCACCTTCTTCTTTAGCTTC